TTTCAAGTTTTCCCACAGGGCAGCCCCTGATGGTCCTTTGCTTCTAGGAGGGGCTGGATGTTGTCAACACCGGGAATGGCTGTGAGGGTGCCTTCTGGGTCCTCCCACCATACACGCCCAGAGGGAAGGACTGCGCTCTGCAGACACCACCCATTTCTTGCCTGAAATCTGATTTGGTTTCAGTCTGTCATGAGGCTAAGGGAAAGGAGAACAAATCTGCCAAGCACAGCAGCTGGGGGGATGGGGAACAGGACCTTGGGAAAAATGGCTGGAAGTTAACAGTCTTTCACCTCGAAAGGTGGCTGAGTGAGGATGAGCGTGATGAAGTTCAGGCGTGTACATTGGGGAGGTGGCGCGGACGGTTGAAATCTCAGGTGGGAAGGCCCAGCGCAGGCCGACAGAAAGCACAGGTGACTGAATCAACCTGATGGCAGTGTCACCTTCAGAACCGAAGACCCAGTGCCGGCCGGCGGCCCTGGGCCGAGCCTCGGGGGCCTCCTGCTCGGCTGCGGGTGCGCCTTCAGAGCTGAGCGAGCGATTTGTTCCGCTGTTACCGAGGGCGAGGGCGGTGCGAAAGGGAGAAACGGGTGGAAGCACAGGTGACTGAATCAACCTGATGGCAGTGGCACCTTCAGAACCGAAGACCCAGTGCCGGCGGCGGCCCTGGGCCTAGCCTGGGGGGGCGGGGGAGGCTGCTGCTCGGCTGTGGGTGCGCCTTCAGAGCTGAGCGAGCGCTTTGTTCCGCTGTTACCGAGGGCGAGGGCGGTGAGAAAGGGAGAAACGGGTGATTTCAAAAGGTTAGTAGAATTAGAGGTTTTCATCTCAGAGAAGATCACACAGAGGAATAACTTAAAAGAGCCTCTGAAGGGTTCTCACAGAGAAAAGAGTTCATCTCGCTCTGGGTGATAAAAACCACTTAACTTTACGGAGACACCAGAACAGCACAAACAGAAGGGCATCCCGGTGGCAGCACGGGGGCTGGGGGCAGAGAGCCTCAAACTGGAAGGGGCACCTTCCCGTGGGGCACGGGCCGGGGCTTTGCCAACTGCCTGCCCCGCTTCGGGTCATTACCCGGAACCTAGCTGGCCTCGCTCGGGAGTGTCAGTACGGACTCTCTTTCTGGACGCCTCTTCGAAACAGCCTGGGCCTTCAGCCCCTTTGTGTGAGGCCCTGATTGTCGCCTCCTGGGGTCCCCGGCAATTCCACAGGTTTCATGCATAATCCGAGTGACCATACCTGGTGACATTGGAAGAAATTCCAGATTTAGCGCTGCGTAACAAAAGCTACAGGGACTCTCACTCTTCCACTTGGCCCTAGAGGCCTGGGTTGCCCAGTGGTTCCCTCTGGGCCCATCTTTTCTCAGATGCATTTATACTGTCCCCCGAATAACCATGGCCTCTCCTACTGACGACTGACTCCATGGCACCACCACAGTGTGCTGCTGAGCTCTGGACCTGTATTTCTACACTTGATCTTAGCCAAGAAGCCGAGAAGCAATCAGACGTGTGTTTCCAACTGGCCGCTGGACAATCCGATAAGCACGTCGAACTTCACAGGGCCAGTAGGGAGCTGCTTCTGAACTTTCCCCTTGGACCTTGATGAAGGACGTCACCACTGACGCAGAGGCCAAAACCCAAGCCCAGATTCCTTCCCCTGCCTTGTCTTCCACAACTTCCTGTTCCATCTCTCCCCATCTGGCCCTCTTCTTCAGTCTCCGTGCCACCACTTGCCTCACACCTCAAGCACTGCTCACCTAGATTTTACATGGCCTGTAAACGTGCTCTTTTCCAATTCATCTTCCAATGAGCCGTCTAAATTGTACTTCTAAAATGATTTCAGAGAGCAAGGGAGAGGTAGAGATAGAAACATCAATGAGAATCATTGATCAGCTGCCTCCTGCATGCCCCCTACTGGGGATCGAGCTGCAACCTGAGCATATGCCCTGATCAGGAATCAAATTGTGACCTCCTGGTTCATAGGTCGATGCTCAACTACTGAGCCACGTCGACGTCTGCTAAGAATCTTTAAATGACTTCTTATTTCTAGGACTTAGATCTGACCTCCACCCACACCTCTCACTTTATGGCCTGCCTCTACCCAGTTGCGCTCATCCTCCGCCATACTGAAGTGCTGCCCGACCCTCTCACCTCCTGCCCCTGCAGATAGCTGATTCTGTGTGCCATAGGCTCCCCCCTCCCTTCGCCCAGGTGTATAACTTCATCATAGCTCTAAGCCTCTTGTGATTACAAAACTGTCTCTGCTATTTTCAATAGAGCTTTTAAAACTATCTAGGAGGTCTACATTTTCATTTATTAAAATTTGGGGTGAGAATTTCTACCTCAAAGGTACATTCTAATTGGATAAATAGAGTCTGTTTTGGCCTCCCAGGCCTTGATTTCATTATGGCAGAGTTTAGGGCCAGAAGGGGGGATCCTCATATTTTATTCCTTCTCTTTCTCTCTTCCTCCCTCTGTCTGTAAATCTCATTTACTCAATAGCATTGTTGAGAAGATTAAATGAGATGAGGCATGTACAGGACACATCTAGTGCATTCGGTTAGTGGTCAGTTCATCCACAAGGCAGAATGGCAGCTGGTACATGAAGGTAGCTTCTGGTTAAATGCTAGAACACTGGTGTCAGACAATTAGTATATTCTCCTCCCAGTGGAAAATCCATTTGGGGAGTTTGATTGCCAGGGAAAGCAAAATAAAGACAGAGAACTGTGTGATTATAAAGGATCTAGAAGTCTAACGTGCTGGTCTTCTCCGCCAAATAGGGACCTGTCCACCCAGTGAACGATAATGCCCAGAGCACCCACCCTCTGCCAGTGCTCGGGTATCGCTTCTTACTTTATTCTGGTAAAATATAGGTAACATAAAATGTACCATTTTAACCATTTTCCAGTACACAATTCATTGGCAGTAAGGACATTTACAATGTTATCACCATTACCTGCTTCTAAAATGTCTTTATCACCCCAAACAGAAACTCTGTTGACCCATAAGCAATAACTCTGCATTCCCTGACCCAGCCTCCTCAGTCCTTGGCAACTTCTAATCTACTTCCCTGTGTCTATGGATCCGCCTGTGATAGCTATTTCACAGAAATGGAATCATACAGTATTTGTCCTTTTGTGTCCGGCTTATTTCACTCAGGGTAATGTTTTCAAGATTCATCCATGTTGTAGCGTGTACCCGAATATGCTCATCGCTTCTTACATTAAACCTTTCCTTTTGTTGGCCCCACAAGGACCTCTTTCTTCCTGCTTCTACTTATTCTGATCGTACTCTCTTCTTCTTTTCCACATGTTTTCAGAGCCCCCCCTTCCGGAAGTAGATTTTTTCACAGTGCACGGAGGGCCTCTCCCACGCCTGAAACTGAGGAGAGCCAAGGAGAACAACGGGCCTATCAGGTCAGTAGCAACCCCTTTTCCAGGGCTGCCCAGGAATCCTCATGGAGGGCTTTGGAGTCTGGGTGGCAGCACCTGAATAGTTGGGTACAGACTTGACCCTTAATTTCAACCAGTCCCCTTCCAAACAAATACAGAGACTTCCAAAGGACCAGAGACCAACATTTAGGCAGCTCAGGTCAAGAAATTCAGTCCATTGCTTTGATCATTGGACAAGCAATGGTTGGGAGTCTGGGACATGTCAGGCATTATCCTTGGCACTCAGATCTGCATGTGTATCTGTTAGTGGCGGTGGATCAGGGGCATCATTACATTTATCAAAACCAGTACATATTTTCCTTTATTTAAGGATGGGCGGCTTCTGAAAAGGTCATTTGGATAATTCTTTTAATTCACTCATGTATTGAGTTATGGGCAAAATACCACATAGTTAATGACTGCTTCTGGAATCCCAGATAGTAGTAGGATGGAATTAATTTACCTCGGTTGGAGGACTACATTGTGTTCAATTAAGCATTTTATTTACAAAGGTCATGATAGGGTCACGAAAGCAGAATTATCCCCTTTTTAAGAGAGGAAGATAGAGGTTTGCCTGGAGAGATGAGCAACTGCCTCACAGGCATACATCAAGGAGATAACAATACCTCGCCATGCTTGACCTAACGGACATGGCTTTATCTCTCTTGACCCATCGTCAGTCCAATCCAAACATGAGATACTGTAAAAAAAAACACCTGGGGACGCTTGTGTGTCCATTGATAATGAAACTTAGGCTTCTCCTGTCTTCCCATTAGTTTACGTTCAATAAATGCTCAAAGGTCTTTCCAGGGATGGATGTTGCCTAAATTGTTCTGTTTCTTGATTCCTGCCAAGTGAGTGGAATGCACTGTAATTCTGTTGTTATATAAAGGCAACAGAAGTTGTGACACCTCTACCTGAGAGCACTTGCAAGAGAAAATGTGATATTTGGAACAAATAATGATACAAGGCAAAAAGAAAAGCCAAATGACAGCCTACCCTTATGGCTTGTGCAGGCCCGTGCCTCCAAAACAGGAAGTGGAGATCTGTGAGTCATTCAAAGGAGGGTGGTGATGACAAAGAGGGGAAAAGTCCTTCCAGTGACTCAAGGGAGGGTGTGCTGAGAAAGAGGGGAAAAGTCCTCCCAGAACAGTCCTGTTCTAAACAGCCCCAACTGCTCCCCAAATATCATCAGGGCTAGTTACCAGCGGGCCAGTGGGGTGGTGTCCTCCGCCCGACTGCTGTGTCTGATCTGAGCTGGGAGTAGCAGCTTTGCCAGTGTGCGATGCATTGTTGATAAAGGGCAGTGTCTGGGGGCACGTGGTGGAGCAGGGGCTCTGGGACCGAGGCTTTCTTCCTTAGCTTAGTGACCTGGGGTAGATGATGCCGCCTGTTCCTGGGCTCTCTCAATGGTGGTGTCTCCCACACTTGCCAGATTACAGGAGTCACCTGGATGGTGTTAGTAGCAAGACAAATTCTCAGCGTCAACTCCTGGAGATTTTTTTTAATCCTCACCCAAGGATATTTTTTTCCCACTGATCTTTAGAGAGAGAGTGGGAGGGAGGACTGAGGTGCGGGTGGAGGGAGGGAGAGAGAGAGAGAGAGAGAGAGAGAGAGAAACATCAATGTGAGAGACACATCGACTGGTTGCCTCTTATATGCACCCCAATCAGGACTGGGGACCAAACCTGCAACTGAGGTATGTGCCCTTGACTAGGAATTGAACCCAAGACCCTTTGGTCCGCTGGCCAACGCTCTACCCACTGAGGGAAACTCCTGGGGCTTTTGACCAGTAGTGCCAGCAGAGGGGCTCGAAGTTTGTATAATTATCAAGCAGCTCGGGTGATTATGACCATGCTAACTGGGGAGACTGCTTTCTGCCATGTGAATAGTGCCTTCAATGGACAATGCACAGTCAAATAGTTCAGGTGGACCTTGACTTTGCACTTGAGCAGCACCACCTATGTGGAAAGATGAGAGGGATTTGAAGATACGCTTATGGGCAGGATGGAGCTGCTGCAACTTTTACTTTCTTCCCTGCAGCCATGATTCACTGGGAAACCTTCAAGTCCCCAGGAAAGTGTGTGTGACAGGTGTTTCCTTGTAGCCAGTGGGCGCTGAGTAAATGTTTACTGGTAATGACAGTGACACCTCATTGCCCTGCAGGCTTTAGCTTGTCCCTTTCGTAGAAAACACTTGGCCTGAAAGTGAACCCACACTTTGTGGAAATCAGGGCCCTGAGGACACCTCTGATGTTTGTTATGGAGACTTTCCAAACCCAACACCTGCTGTCGGGGAGGGCTCCCTTTCCTTAGCCCAGTGACTCATGGGCCTTTAGCAAGCAGGAGATGGGGCATTATGAATGTGGAACAGGAAGTGTGCATTTATGGCTAAAACAGAATTATGTGGCCTAATGACTTTTGGAAATTACCCTAATCATATCTGATGCTGATGCATGTTTTTCTCTCTTTACTGAAGTTTTAACTCAGGAAACATTAGTGGGGAGTCAGTCACAGCCAAAGACCAGGGTAAGGAGTTGCAAAGATATGAGAGTAAATCATTCAAATACCTGCCCTCAAGCCTGATCGAGAAAGCAGATGTTCAAACAATTACTGCACCAGCGTCAGGGGATATGTACCGAGGAGAGGGCAACGAAAGGGAAGGCGTGATTCATTCTCAGTGAAATTTTATTCTTAGACTTCCTTTCACTGACAGGTTTTCTATTTTGGGGAGGGGAGGATAAATAAAAATACACATGACAAAATGACACCTGATTGCTCATGTGTTTCTGTGCCCACAGTTAGGGAACGGTTTCACAGTACACATGTGACATTTGGCCAGTCTGGTGGTTTCAGGATGTTGTCAGAGGAGATGAAGCCATGGTGACTGTGCACGCCCTTCTTCTCATTGATTTCACATGAACTTTGCTATCCGTCTGTGAGCTGCAGGGAATGTAAATCACATGAGTTCCATGTTCGGTTACCATGTGATTTCCTGGAGCCTTTTTGCAGACTTAGTACATTAATTCTTGTGGACAGCCAGCCTCCACGTGACGACTAAACCCTTTCCACAGCTGGGCTTTATTTGCCCACATGAAAAATCACTGATCAGATCAACTTTATGGCTTGTGTGTCCAGGGCGGTGATGTGTACAACCACTTCTCTCAGCTAAAGATGTCCTTGGTGTCCATCGGTAGCCAGAACATGAAGACATCCCTCGCCCAGTGTCATCTGGCAATAACGCTGTAGGTTAAAACTGGAGTTCCTTTGACTGTTAGAGCAGTCAGACTAAATCTCACATGGGCAAGGACTTTTTTTCTGTCCAGTGTTATAGCTCCAGTACTCAGAAAAGTGCTAATCTCATTGCAAGTGCTTAACAACTATGAATGAATGAATGAATGACTCCCTACGCAAGAGTCTGATAGACATTTTCTTTTTCCTTCCAGTTCCTATCAGGTGTTGGTGGTTCCCCTGGCCCTCCAAAGCACATTTTCTTGTGACTCTGAAGGGGCGACCTCATTCTTTAGCAATGCTTCTCATACCGATGGCTATGTGGCTGCAGAACTACTGGCCAGACATGTTCCAGATGATGCCATGGAGATCTCCATTGGAGACAGGCTGTATTACGGGAAATATTATAATGCACCCTTGAAAGCAGGGAATGATTATTGCATTATATTACGAATCACAAGCGAGTGGAATAAGGTATATTTCTTTAAAAGCTCTTCTGAACTGTTTTCTTCTTTACGTGACATTTGGATGGTTGAACATTTGTTTCTCCAGTGTTTGAGATGGACACTGCACATAATGACCATAAGAATGTGTTGAACCCTTGGCCTTGGTAAAGGACAGGCAGGTGAAACCTCTATGGAGGGTGATAGTCCCAACTTCCTGGAGGACCTGGTTGGACCTGCGTTTGGACTGATCCGGTTTTGGTTCTTCCTCTGACGCTTCACAGACGCCCTCATTCCAGTGCATTGCGGAAGCCCGAGTTGGAGAGGAATTTCTAGATCTCTTGTCACTTCCCCGCTCTCCTGCCAGGCTGCAGCCTCCCCTCATTCTCCCGGAAGCAGGCGGGAGGGCACGTTAAGCTCAGTCCTGCCCTACTGTCCATCACGGCTGTGGCTGTTGCACAGGCCTCACTCTCCTCTCCCCTGTCGTTAGAAAGGCTGTGTTCTCCCAGCCGTGGTTCTTTCGTGAGACGTAGAATTGGATACTCATCACATAATAAATAAATATAATGACCTGATCAGTCAGCCAGGGATGGAAGGTCTTCTGGAATAAACATTGTGATGGTTGAACTCTGTAAGTTTCAAAGGCCCTACCTCCAAATATCATCACACTGGGGTTAGGGCTCAACAGATGAATTTTGGGGGACAAACATTGAGTCTATGACAGAGGGAATAAAGTGGGAGGTTATGATAAAAATTTTAGTTAATAGGAAGCTTTCCTGTGATGTCATTGTTACCTCCTTTTCACACAGCTGAGTGGAACATGTGCCTGTTTTTAGGGATGCTAAAGGAGATAAGGAGCTTTGAAAAAATGTATATGTGGATTTGCATATTTGAATCGCAACTACTTACCCCAGGGTTTTCAAATATATTAGTCATATTAAAATCAGTAGTGACTTACTCATTTTTAAACTGCTTTGTTGATATAAAATTCACATACCATATAATTTACCCATTTAAAGTGAGAAATTCTGTGGTTTTTAGTGTATTCACAAGCTTGTGCAGCCCCCACCACCGTCTAATTCCAGAACATTATAGCAGTGATTTTAAAAAATATTTAATTTTACTTGGGGTAAAATAAAATGTACCATCTTAATAATTTTTTAAAATATATTGTTATTGCTTTTAGAGAAGAAAAGAGAGAGGCAGAGAGAGAGAGAGAGAGAGACAACAATGATGAAAAAGAATCATTGAGCGACTGCCTCCTACACACCCTTTACTTGGGAAGGAGCCTGCAACCTGTGCATGTGCCCTGACCGAGAATCAAACTGTGATCTGGTTCATAGGTCGACGCTCAACCACTGAGCCACCTAGGTCGGGCCATACATGTTCTTTTCCCTTTCTTCCTGGTTCTTGGCTACATTTGGGCAAATGTGGTTGCCAGGTAAGTGTCATCATTATAGGTGAAGTATAATGTGCCAGGAGTTCTAGTAGCCTTGCCTATCACGTGCATCAAAACTTCTTGCTGAGCCTGGATCTGTCCTCAGAATCTTTTCAACACCATTCTCCTGTGGGTCAGTGCCAGCTGCTCAGCGCTGACAGGGAATGAAA